ATATGTGTGTATGTATAAATACGTAGCTTATATGACTATAGATACACCTAGTTATGACGTGAAGCGACCGGTAATGCCTGTTGCCCCGTGAAAACGTGCAACTCCCTGTCATTTGATACACCGGCTGCGCCTACACCATATCTCTCGACTACTATGATGAAGTAAGTATGTGTGTGTGTGTGTGTGTTAGTACGTAAATGATATATAGAGAGACACAAAAATTAAGAAATTATTATTTTTTTAATATGTTTATATTTTTTTGCAATTTAAATCATGTAATAAAGCTGAAAACGTGTAAATTTTATAAAAAATATTACTAGTTTAATTTTCGTATAGATATTGTTATTTAAAATTATTTTTTAATAAATCTAATTATAAGATGAATAAAAATCGATAATTGTATATATATATATATGTATTATGAAATATAAATGAATGTAGGTCGTATTATAGGAATATTGTATTAAAATTTTATCCTTTTAATATGTTCTATTATATCTGTAAAAGCATATTTCAAGGAAATTTAAAACGTATATTTTAATACGCTGTGTATAATTCTTAGAAAATAGTTTCATATTAGAGAGAGAGAGAGAGAGAGAGAGAGAGAGAGAGAGAGAGAGAGAGAGAGAGAGTAATTCTTTTTATATGAATAATACGTAAATGTGTATTCGTTATAACAATAAAAAAAATAATAAAAATATCCTTGACAACGTTGCAAACGTGTTTATAAATAAAACTTATCTAAAATATTTGAAATATTTCGAAAACAATGAATTAATGAAAATGATATAAAATATTTAATAAAAAAGAACCACATGTTTATTTTTATTTTTCAATCTTTTTACTTTTGCATCTAATTCGAAATGTAAAAGATATATAAGAAAAATATTTTATGAAAAAAACATTGCATAAAATTTACAAGTTTTGAAAGATTGGAAAAAAATTAGAAAAAAAAAACAATAAGAGACAAGGAAAGAATAGACAGAAAATAGTATATATATATGTTTGGTTGCTTTGTTCGGTCATTTTCGTGCCGCCAGCAATTCCGATTTATTTTTTTTTTTTATCCTATTTTCTTTTTTTCCACGTAACATCATTCCTCGCACAAAACGCACAAGAACTTTATATATATCTTTTGGAGAGTTAAAAAGTCCGGAGGGTTTTAGTCGTATCAGAGATAGGCAAAAGTCTAATACTATAAAGCTGGACCAGTAACACGAAGAAAATTCATTTTTTTCTAGTAGAAAAACGAGAGAGAGAGAGAGAGAGGAGAGAGAGAGGAGAGAGAGAGAGAGAAAGAAAGATAAATACAGAGAAAGAGTATAGATTTGTTTTTTTTCTCGTTATTTTCTCTTTTTATTTATACTTTTTTTTTCCATATACATAATTTCGAATAATCGAGATTTCTATATTTACTATGTATTCTTTCAATCAAAATGTTACTTTTTTATTTTTATTCCTGAAAAAAAAAAAATAATGAAATAAATCTTCCATTCGTTTACTTACGTAATATAAGTTAGATAACGTTAGAAAAGTATATTTGTACTATTATTATTATAAATTCATAAATTTTTTATTTGTTATCCGAGATGAAGTAAAAATTTATTCAAATAAAATACGAACCATTGTTTATTATATACACATAAAAATTCTGCGAAATAAAATATTATTAATTATTATTACAAAAATGTATTTAAGAAAATTATATTATTTAATACTTCTATTAACCAAATTAATTATTTAATCAATTAACTATGTTTAAACAATATACTCGTTCATCGTTTTATTTTAATGACATAATTTAGGTGAAAAATTTAAAAGATCGTCACAGCTTATTGGTCAGTGTTAACCGTTTGACTGCTACGCGGCGCAAAAGCGCTGCGATCGTTTGTCTCGAAAATCGCGACACAGCGCTTTTGCGATGCGAGTTTCAGTGTGTTTTTGGTGCTCCTTATTTGCGCTCGCTGTAAGAAAGGCCTTCACGCTATTTGTGCGGCAAAACATAGTTGTTATACATAAATTTTTTATGTAAGAGTCAGTGATCTTCCCCTAATCAAAATGATCCTTTACGCGCTGATCATAAGAGAAGATCAATAAAATTTAAGTTATTTTTTTATAAATTTTAATTAAAAAAGAAAGAAAAACAATTTTATGTTTATTTTTTCTTATTCACAATCAGAATTAACATTTTTTCTTTATAATACAAAAAGAATTATTAAAATTGATTGATATTTGTCTAAATGAGAGTGTTTTATTTGACAACATTATTTTTTCCTTTAAAGAAATCAAAATGTGTACCGCAATTTTCGTGCATTCTTGCAAAAATTGCTTAGCACTAAAAGGGTTAAACCTCATAAAAATTCGTTGTGTTCACCTTTTATTATTTTTCTATTCTCTAATGATGTTCCTAATAATTTATTGTAATAAACAGTTAATTGAATGAAAAAAAATTCTTAAAAAGATAATTATGAAGAATAACACGTACAAGAAGCAGAAGAAGAAAAAGAAGATGATAAATAAGATGATGATGATGATGGATGCGAGGGAGAAGGGGTGTGGGAGAGGGAGGAAGAATAAAAGAAGAGCTTACCAAGTACGGTGAGGGTGATGTCACCTTCCAAGATTGTCGTGTCGTTTCTCGCTTGACAGGAATAACGTCCAGCATCCGAGGGTCTAACATCTTGCGTGTAAATTGTTTGATTCGCGCTTTCCGGATAAAGGATAAAATAACTCTCACCACCTGGCCAAGGATAAGCTCTATTATCTTTGAACCTGGAACATATACAATAAAATATTTAGATTTCATATTTTACGTATCTAGATTTTCACATACGCATGATTCATATAATTATATATATATGTGTGTGTATGTGTTTGGAAATGTAAATAATTTATTTAAAAATGAACAAAAAGAAATAATGTATTTTTCAATTATTTTGTTTTATTGAAATAATTAATCATAGTTAAAGTATATTATTATTATATAAAATGCATATATTGGTCTATAAGAAAGTTTCAAATTTAAAAAATTATAATTTATGTATTATAATATATTTATTATATAATAAATATATTTATTAAATAATAAATTATAATATATAAATTACAATTTTTATATAATAATTAATATTTATATATGTTATTAAGTAAAAAACGATCGAATAAATTTTGTACTACTTAAAAATGTATACAAATAAAATCAAAATCAAAATTACTGTGTCAAAAATAAGAAAAAAATAAATAAAAAGAAAAAAACATACAAATTGACAATGGTTCGATTATTCGATAACGATTTCTTTATACTAGTCCTCGAGTAGACGACGAATGGTGAAGCATTGAATCGTCGAATGGATTTATGTTTTCTCGTAGACACCTAACATCTACGTGGAATAATGTAGAGCGTAACTTGCGAGAAGAGAAACTTTCCGATAACGAGAGCGATGTCGAAGGCATTTCTCTTTTTCTGTTTTATCTATCTTTCCTTTTTTTTTTCTTTTTTTTCCCCCCTATCTTTCTTTCTTCTCGCTTAACGTGGCTTCGTTACGGTCGATTGTCAAAGTACGCGGAAAATGGGAAACGTCGAGTGAAAAAGGACGATGATATTGTGCAAGGATTCACCGTTATTGAACGAAGAATAAAGTAAATATAAAAAGAGAAACAGAGAGAAACAGAGAGAGAGAGAGAGAGAGAGGAAGATCGAATCTTGGTGAAAAGTAACTTTGAATTATTTTAAAGTTCGATAAATTAAATAAATATATTAAATTATATTTATGAATATATACATTAGAACAAATATAATTTTGATGTAAATTGGATTCTTTTTTTTTTTTTTAGAAATACTTTTTTTGTTTGCATAAATGTTTCCATGATGTATATTAATGTATACGAAAAATATAATTATGTATGGGCCGCCTATTTTGAAAGTGGCTTACCTCCATTTATGTTCGAATCGAGATATTGAACGATTTGCATTTCAATGCAATTAAAAATATACGTACAACGAGTAGTTATACTGCTTAAGTGTATCTTCAGGCTTTAAATTTATATTTCCTATTAAAATAGTGGCAATTATTAAGCGAATAATATGCGTTTTCTAACCATAAATGAAGTTAGGCCATTGTCAAAATAAACAATTTAATTTTTTATAAATTTCGAAGTGACCTAACTCCATTCAATATAATTTCAGATGCTTCAAATTGAAAAAAACAATACTCAATTTATTTTATATATCTTTAAAACACTTCAGAAACATAATTTATGCGATTCAAAACATTTTTTAACTACATGAATCACGTTATATACGCATGTATACGAAATTAGGATTATAACGTTCTACTTTTTGAATTTTTTTCATTCTAATTTAATTATTTAATCATCCCTACGCAATGACGACTTCGAGGATTAAATTGTCCTATAATGTAAGTAAAGTGTATTAAAATATTAAAATAACTGTTAAATAATCGATGGAAGTATCTATTATTGTCTAAAAGCTTGAAGTATATGATCTATGCACTGTTCTCTTCGAGATTCACCTTTATACTGGCACATTGTCTTTTATCAAAATATCTTTATTAAATGTTGTTTATATGACTTTCCGACCGATGCGCATGTATGTAATGGGATTATTAATTGTAATAAATACAATTAAAGATTATAACGTTCTGATTTTAACTTTAAAAGATAAAAACAATTTACTGCTCATCTACTTTTTGTGTGTGTGTGAAAAGGACTTAAAGAAATCATAATATTCCTTTGATATATATCGTAGTAGGTTTAAAAGATAACATTTTTTAGTATCTCGTTACAAATTTAAAACAATGTTATAAACAAATACAAATATATAACAAATAGAAATATAGAAAAAATAGAATAATATATTTAATAGAAAAAGAAATTGATACGAAGACACTCCGAATAATAAGGAACATTTAGATGATCAAAAATCAATTATTATGGAGGTAAATTGAAGGAAATGTGCGAGTAGATATACCCGTATTTAGTATTGATTTTCCAATTTTCTATTGAACTCACTCGATGCGATGCAGTAGCAATAGAAGAGCGTATTTCTCGATCTCAATCAAACGTTAACGAGCGATCTATTCGTCGAAGAAAATTCGTAAGCTAAATTTATTGCACAAGCCTCTAAATGACTGTTGTTCTAATTGATTAAATCTATAATTTCATTGCAAATTAAATTTTAATTTATATATTATAATATATTATAGATATTAAGGTCCGGCTATTTATTACGTGCTATTATTTGATATTACGATAAACATATGTAAATTAAAATAAGTTTGTATTTAAGTTATATGTAAAAAAAAAAAAAAAACAAGGATTACCATAAAAATTTAAATAACACGTCCACATAGACAAAATTTATCGTCGTAGAATAATTTTTTCGAAATAAAATGAAATTCTGTTTGAAAAAGTACCTTCTTTTTGTTTTTGAAATAAAAAGTAATTACTTGTGAAGATAATAAAACGTAAAATTTCATAAGGGGATCAACTTAGCATATATATACATATCATGTAAATAAAACTATAGCAGTATATTAAAATGAAATTCCTATGCAACTGCTAACCCCCCACGCTATGTAAGAAAAAAAAGACGGAGAGATTATAAGGGAATAATAAGTAAAAAAAAGGAGAGAGGAGGGATGGAATACGTGGAAAACGAATAGGAAGAATACTTTTCCTTCTTTCATATCCTTCTTCTCAAGGAAAAATCTTTTTTACGCTTGATTCCACGTGGATCAAAAGGATTCCCGGTTATCTGTCTCCTTTCCTCTTTCACTACTGATCTGCCTACGAGGGTATCTCAGCTATCTCTTTTTAACGTAGTACGCTCTTTTCCCATCGAAAAAAGATAGAAGAAACCTTTTCTCGCGTCTACTTCCACGAATAAATCCGCTTTCTCCTGAAACTCTTTTCTTCCCTTTTTCTTTTTTCTTTTTACTCACACCATAACTAGGCTTTACTTCCCACCTCCCCTTCACTGCTCTTAACTTCTTCCTCTTTTACTCACACCATAACCAAACCCCATTTCTATTGCTATTTCTCTCTCTCTTTTTTTTCTTTTGACTTCTTTCTTCTTACTTGCACCATAATAACAAACCCCCCCCCCTACTACCATTCCTCTCTCTACTCTCCTTCATTTCTCTCTCTCTCTTTCTCTCTTTCTTATCTATTTCCTTTCTATCTGACAACTTGCGGGAGAACCGATACACCGATTTACATCTCTCAACTTGGCTAGAAAGATTTCGACGAGGTGTGTGCTTTGTGCGAACATAACTTTGGCACACGATATAAAGCCACCGATGATATCGGTTCTTTCCTTTAACTTCTCTCTTTTTCGCGACTATACTTAGAATCCTATTCTATCCTTTCCTCTTCTCTTCTATCCTTTCTCTTTCTCTTTTTACATTCTATTTCTTCTCTTTTCTTTTTTCTCTTCACCGTAAAACGGAGGACAATGGAAATCTTTCGATTATCGGAAAGCTCAGAAATTCTCTGCAATATTCTTCGAGGGAAACGTCAAAATCGATCCTTTAACTTTTTATTTAAAATAGTGTCAAATGGAAAGAAAAAGAAGAAGTAGGAGGAGAAGAAAAAAAAATCAGGTTAAAATGGAACTTTTTTTTATATAATTTATATATCCGTAAATATATATTTTATTATATTTTTTAAATATATATCTTTATTTTTTTTTTTATATCTTCATATATTTATTTGTCGGCAATAATTACGATGATGGATTATACGTCGAAAATATTGAAAAAAAAAAAAAATGATTGGATCTTTATCGTTTATATTATAAAAATAAATAGTAAATTCAATTTTTGGATTCGATAAATTTATTATAAATTATATTCATATTTATATATATTATTATATTAATATTTATTATAATTACAATATAAATATAATAGAATTTATACTAATTACATTATATTTATAATTATATAAATTATATTATATACTATAATATATATATTTTTCTACTTTTTTTATAATGAAGCATTTAGTATTTTAATGAATAAAATGTTAACTTTCTAAAAAGAGTTATTTTTGTTAAAGCAACTAGTCGCTTGTAATACATATTTTAAAACCATCTACGAACTCTGGYCTATAAGCGTGTTTTGTGTGTGTGTGTGTGTGTTTGTGTATGCTTGAGAAAAACTACGCAAAAATAGTAATTCTCATGTGATCTTTAACAGTATCGACTTTGAATTATTCATTCGATTAGTAAAATTCTTTCAACAAACATGTAAATTACTTTCATTTTTTTAATATTTAACGTGACTGACACTTTAGAAATCTCTGCATTATAAGTTTAATGTACACATGTATATACATATGTACTTTTTTAAAGCTTCAATACTTTACTTTTTCGTTAATAATAAATGAAGCAATAGAATTTTTATATGTTTAAAGTAATTTTTCATTGAGTATAGGCATAATTCATATTACGTAAAACACATACATTTTCATTTCGTTTTACAGACTTGGTGAAAAAAAAATATATACCAACAATTATGCAAAATTTTTGCATAACTCGTTAATTCTCTTTGGTAGAAATTCATTCGATTCTATAAATAATTACTAAATAAATATTTAAAAGGCATGTGAAATAGATAGAAAAATTTATTTCCCTATCGATCGTCTCGTTAAAGAACTTTAATTATAAATGTGCCAATAAAAAAACAAATATCAATTTTCACATTTGTATAAAAATAAGACAAAGAAGAAGAGGAAGAAAAAAAATATTAAGTTAAGTAAAAAGTTT